TCCTTGCCTGAAGAACTTGATATGACCTCCAAACCTCTGTTGTAATGGTTTAGTGATTACACAGTCAGAAAACAATTTGTTATTCACAATGAAAAAAAAGTGAGACAACTCAACCAATCCCATTGAAACATGTCATGTAAAAATTTATCACCTCCGCCACCCTTCTTGTCTGTATCCTCTTTGATATCATTCAATATTTGCCGCCTGTAGTAACGGGCCCGATCGGCATTGCCAAACGATTCATGGATATCGGTGATGCTGCTCAAATTCTTATCTGAACCTGTGGTTCCAATCTGTATGAGCCACAAAATTTGCATGCTTAATGTAAGTTGGTTTTCATCTGAAATCAACTTATAACAGAACTTAAAACCTTACCTTGAGTTGAAGTGCGGTTGCCTTGGGATTCTTCTTGATCTCAGCAACCAAATCTGAACAAGCGAGGGGATCAGGCTTCTTGGAGTTCGGCCAAGGATGATTGTGGAGACCTTTGTGTCGGAGAAGGCCCCAGCCAGTCTTGTGTATATCAATGCGGCATTTAGTTCCTTCACAGTGCTGCCAGTAAACCTTCCCAGAACATCGATTGGCAGATCCTGGGCAAGGTAGCTTCCTGCGATGTTTGAACAAATCAAGAGATGGGGTCTGGGAATCAGTATTTACATTATTGAAGCAAATTTGGGTGGTAGCGAGACCACTTACCTCTCCAGAAGTTCTTGGATTTTTCCACGACCGGTAGGGGGGCGGGCCAGCATATTCACATTCCTCCTGGTCGCAAAGTAAGACTCCGAGGCATTTCACATGTATCACTTTCCACAAGTCGTTGGGTACAGTTGTCGACGTTAAACAGTCTGGGGAGTAGCTAACCCTTGGGAAAGTTTTCAAAACTTTTGCATCAACTGGGAACGACGAAAGTTGTCGATCTGTTTGGGGTAAAGGGGGGTAACCTTGCCTGTCGATTGTACAGCCATGATTGATGAATGTCCGGAACTCTTGGATCCATGGCAACC